TCTCCTTGTCAGTCCCGCCGCCGTCCTCCTCGATGGTCGCGTCAGAGTCGCAGGCAACGGCCGAATCTCGAGCCTCCTCCTCTTCTTCCTCATCATCGTGGTCCTCATCATCGGGGTCCTCATCATCGGGGTCCTCTTCCTCCTCATCATCCTCCTCCTCCTCCTCGTTGTCCTTGGCCGTGCCTTCCTCTTCATCCTCATCATCGGAGTTGATGCGAGCAGCTTTTTCGCGGTCACCATCATCATCATCTTCTTCTTCTTCATCATCGCTCGATGCTAAAATCGCTGGTCGTCGCACTATCCTCCCGGAACTTGTCATCTGAAGCTTCGGCGGTCTGTCCTCCTCCTCCTCCTCCTCGGTGCCTTCATCATCGTCCTCCTCTTCCTCATCATCTTCTTCCTCTTCTTCCTCCTCCTCCTCATACCTGGCCTTCTTTCTCGTCCTCAGGCCGTGGTCTGAATCGTCAAATGGTGGTCGCCTCTTCGAAGTTCTTCTCCGCTGTGAGGCGGAGGCGGCCGATGACTGACTGGAGGCAGACTGATTGTGACTGCTAGTCGAGGGACGAGGACGACTGCTGCTGCTGCTGCTGGCTCCGTTCATGCCTGCGAAAATAAAGATCAGATCAGTAAATAAAATACTCAAACAAAGTATTAACTCAAACTCAAATTACCTGGAGTGTGGTAGCCATTGCTGCGCCTGCCACCTCCTCTCACCCTCCTTTCCTCCTCGTCATTGAGGGTAAAGGTGCTCAGTGGCTTCCGCCTGCTCCTCCCTCCACTGGTGGCACTCTTGTGGTCGGCCATGATCTTCCGCATCTTCTCCTCAAAGACCGACCCCAGCCGAATCGTCATCGAGTAGATCCTCGACTTTTTGTTGGTGTTGAACTGCTTGGAGTTGCTGAAGATGAGGCGCATGTCCTTGCAGAAGTCCGCCGGCGAGTCGTAGATGTCCGCCAGCAGCTGCTCCTTGACGGTGGTCAGGTCCATCGGCGTGTCGATCATCTGCTCGTAGGTGGGGTACTGAATGGGGTCCACGGGCGCCCGGAAGGGGCCGCTGTCCTGCAGGTCAAAGAGGTAGTCCAGCAGGTCGCGGCAGTTCTGCTGCCAGCTCCGGGGCGGCTCGGCGATGGCCGTCGCCGAGGCCCTCGACGGTCCGGCTCGCCTGGAGAAGCCTGTTCAAAAGGAAGGGAGTGTGTGAGAGTTGGAAATCATCAACAAGGTGATGATCACTACACTTACCGGGAAAGTGGTGCGATGGTGGGCCGTCCAGTGAGCTGTCCTCATCATCATCATCCAAATGATGGTAGTGCAGCGGTGGCCGCACCGTCCGCTGAGATCGTCGCGTCGAGGCGGCGGCAATGGCCGCCGAGGTCATCGCCAGCCGGGACAGTCGCGAGCTGTGTCTGCAATGAAAAGTTAGGAGTTAACAAAAAAGGTCGTCTAGAAGAACTTCCACTTCCACTTCGTACCTTGCACTGCCCAGTCGGTGACCACCACCACCACCCCGATGATGGC